CAACCAGGTGCACTGCTCAAAAGGATTTCCCTTCACCACTTTCCTTCAGGGAGGTCCCAGAAAGGGGCTGTAGTGCTGCCACTACCCACTTTCTAGTGGTGCCTGCATATTGTGCACAACCATCAGTGACCCAGACACGAGTTTTCTCTTCCTCAGTAAACTTATCATAAGGAACTCCCCATGAGGCAATATGTGCAGACTGGGAGATGGAAGGTAATGTGACAAGAATGGAGACTGTGGGCATTTGGGCCCTTCCTCATGCAACTTACTTGTGCCTTCAGGTCCTGCTCGTTCCTGATCTCGTACACACCACTTTCATTTAATGATGGAGTGCTGCTGTGCACATCCAACTTTATGGCTCTGTTGGTCAGATAACACCCAGTTCATGATGGGCAGCTTAGGCTGCATGGTGGCTTGGTGGCTGATGGTTAAGCATTCAGTCTCTACTAAGGCCTAGTAACACTGTTTCTCAAAAGTAGAGTAGTTATCTGCAGAGGATGGCAGAGCTTCGCTCCAAAAGACTACAGGTCTGAGCTGTGATTCCCCAGTCTGGAGTCTTAAAGACTCCAAACAACATCTCTGTCTGCCACTGACCCTTCAAACACTGTTGGATCAGCCAGATCATATGGCCCAAGTGGCACAGTCGCTTGCACGGCAGCCTGAACCTGTTGCAGAGCCTTCTCTTGTTCTGGGCCCCATTCAAAACTAGCAGCTTTTCAAGTTACTTGTAAATAGGCTGGAGTAACACCCCTGAAAGGAAGCATCATGCAGCCTTTTTAGTTGTGAGAAGGGCCAAATGTGATAACTTACCCTTCATTTTAGAAGGAATATCTCAACATGCCCCACACCACTGGACTCCTTGAAATTTCACTGAAGTGGAAGGCGCCTGAATTTTTGTTGGATTAATTTCCCACCTTCTAGCATGCAAATATTTTACCATTAAGTCCAGAGTCATTGACACTTCTTCCTTACTAGGTCCAATCAGCATTATGTCATCAATGTAATGGACCTGTGTGATGCCGTGTGGAAAGGAAACATGATCAAATTCCCTGCAGACTAAATTATGACATAGGGCTAGAGAGTTGATATACCTGTGAGGTAGGACATTGAAGGTGTATTGCTGGCCTTACCAGCTGAAGGCAAACTGCTTCTGGTGGTCCTTCAAAACAGGTATGGAGAAAAAGGCATTCGCCAGATCAATAGCTGCGTATCAGGTACCAGAAGATGTATTAATTTGCTTAAGCAATGAAACTACGTCTGGAGTCACCACCTGGTTAAATTTACGATAATTCACTGTCATTCTCCAAGAACCATCTGTTTTTTGCACAAGCCAAATAGACAAGTTGAATGAGGATGTGGTGGGAACCACCACCCCTGCATCCTTCAAGATCTTGATGGTGGCAGTAATCTCTTTAATCACTCCAGGTATGCGGTATTGCTTTTGGTTTACTATTTTCCTAGGTAGGGACAATTCTTATGGCTTCCACTTGGCTTTTCCTACCATAATAGCCCTTACTCCACTTGTTAGGGATCCAATGTGGGAGTTCTGCCAGTTGCTGAGCATATCTATTCCAAGTATGCATTCTGGAACTGGGGAAATCACTACAGGATGGGTTCAGGGACCCACTGGACCTACTGTGAGATGAACATAAGCTAAGACTCCACTACTAACCTGACCTCCATATGCTCCCACTCTGGTGGGACACAGTGATGTTTTGGGTCTTCTGGAATTAGTGTCAGTTCAGAGCCAGTATCCAGTAATCCCTGAAAAGTCTAATTATTTCCTTTTCCCCAATGAACAGTCACTCTTGTAAAAGGCCGTAGATCCCTTTTGGGAAGGCTGGGAGAAAGATTAACAGTATAAATTTTTGACAGTGTAGTGGGGTCATTCCTTAAGGGAATCTGGCCTCCATTCATGGGGTTGTGGGTCTTTAAACTTGCTCAAATCTGGGAATTGTTTGATGGGCCGTGTTTCTCTATTCTGGCAATTCAAGTTAGACTGTTGTTCACTTGACATAGAATTCTTCCACTTGTACAGATAAAGTAAATATTTAGTAGATTTATGATCTGTTTCATTCCTAGGGACACCATGACTAAGTAGGCAACGCCATAGGTCCATATGAGTCAGACAATTTTGATTACTTCTTTGATTCCGCTGTCCATTACAGTAACAATACCCACCTTCTCTTTGTCGATTGAGAGCCACCACTCGGCCCCTACCACCTCGAGTTCCAGTCAGCCTCATTGTAGTTAGGTGTCTTAATTCAGTTAGGGCAGTTCCCACTGTCAAATCTGACTTACACAAAATAGCAATCATAGCAGTCTTCAAGAATGCTGGGGCTCCCTTCATAAATTTGTTCCTCACTGTTATGGTAAAAAATGTGTCCTCTGGGCACTCCATGTGTGGTTCTGTGGTCTAACCTGATAAATCTGCTCTAACATGCCAATTTCCCTAAGCCTTTGGATACTTTCTTCTACAGCATACCAACGCAGATCTGGTACTTCAACTTTATTTAGTGTAGACCACCACATAATCCATGCTTCAGCAACCCAACCAAATAAACTATTAGATCCTTTCCTAACTTCTTGAGTTCAAACACTGAATGAAGAATTTGTGCTTAGTGGGCCCATATCAATAAACTCAGACTGATCCATCTGTATTTTCCTTGCACCGTTATCCCACACCCTTAATAGCCATTCCCACACCTATTTCCCAGATTTCTGTTTGTACATATTAGAATAGTCAAGCAGTTCTTTTGGAGTATAGCATACCTCCTCCTGGGTTACATTTTGTACTTCAGCTTTTGGGGCTCGCTGGAGCTTAAGCCTAGTTATAGGTCTAGAAGCCAAAGTGGTGGTGTATATGTGTTTTGAGAACATTCAGCATTGTCCTGTAAGGCATCCATCTTAGGCAGTGCCCCAGGCAATGATTCAGACAAGGCTCTTCAAACACAGCTGGGTTAATCTCATCAAATGGGTATGGAGAGGCTAATGGTTTTACTGGGGAGGGTGGCTTAGCAGGCAAAGATGGAGTAATCTCTTCAGATGGGAGTGAGAGGGCTGGTTCTATTGGCAGGAATGATTCAGTGGAATTTAGGGAGTCAATGTCCACATCTTCCTGATTATCTGCACATATGTCCCCATCCCAAGTTTCAGGATCCCATTTCTTCCCAGTCAGTGCCCTCACTTCAGACACCACTTGAGGTTGGGAATTCAGTTGGCATTGTAATTCAGCCACTCTTATGGTAAGACCCTAGGCTTGGTTTTTGGTAATATCAGCTCTGTTACTATAAGAAATAAAGCTTTCTGTCAAGGTACATGTGGAAACTTTGAGGTCATTTATGTGGTGTTTGAACTATGACCCAGAAGACCTGAGCTCATCTCTTTCTTTCACCACTTTGTGTAGTGAAAGTAGGATCAACCAACCAGCTTCCTCATACTTCTCATTATAACAAAATTACAGAAAGGTATCAAACATGTGATCACCCAGACCCTCACCTCTCACCAATACCTGATCTATTGGTGGTGTTATTTTACATATTTCTGTTGCTACCTCACACCATGGATTAATAGTGCCTTCTTTACTACAGGAAGCAGAGTCATCAACATCTTTAAGACTGACCAGACTTGAGAACCAATTTAGAAAACTCATCCTTACAATTTTGTTTCTCTAGAACTACTCTCCAGTACCAAATGTCTTAGGCTGGATTCTCTAGAGAAGCAAAACCAGTGAAGTGTGTACGTGTGTGTATATATATGTGTGTATATATATGTGTATGTATATATACCAAAAATAACCAAACCCATTGCTGTCAAGTCAATTCCTACTCATAGCGACCCTATGGGACAGAGTAGATCTGCCCCATAGGGTTTCCAAGGAGCAGTTGGTGGATTTGAACTGCCAACCTTTTGGTTAGCAGCTGAGCTCTTAACCACTATGCCAGCAGGACTCCATATATATATAAATCTCTCTCCATATATATCGAGAGAGATTTATCTCAAGAACATGGCTCACATGATTGTAGAGGCTGACAAGTCCCAAGTCCATGGTTCAGGCATCAGGCTAGAGGCTTCTCCTGAGTCACGTAGCTGCGAGGGCTGACAAACCCAAGATCCACAGGTCAGACGGCAGGCTGCTGCCTCATGGCTGCAAAGGCTGACGAATCCAAGATCGGCAGGTAAGATAGCAGGCTGTGGCCCAAGTCCCAGGAACTGGAGATCAGATGCTGACAAGCTGAACGTGGTATGCAGAGCAGAGCAAAAACCAACAAGCTTTGCCAGGAAGTCCTCATATATTGGATGCAGGCCACACCCCCAAGGAAACTCCGTTTCAACTGATTGGCTACTCACAGCAGATCCCATCATAGAGGTGATCACATTATATCAAATCTCATGAAGGAAGAGACCACATAATTATATGACTGCCAAACTACGTCATGACTGCCAAACCACTGAGAATCATGGCCCAGCCAAGTCGACACACAAGCTTAATGACTATAGCCTGTGAATTAAATTTAAAAAAAAAAAAGAGTCAGATACTCTAAATACTTATAGGAGGAACCACTGGAAACTTTGAGTTTTGAAAGCAAATATTTAATTTAGGCTCCCTCTTCTGTGAGCTTACAAATGGCACTCAATTCAATATAATGGTCAATCAGTGTTTTGATATTTACTATGGGACTCATGGACTTTTAAAAATTATTATTAGCTGCTTTAGTCTTCTAAATATGTATTTTTTAAAAAGTCCCTTATTTCTCAGCATGATTTGCGTTTGTGGTAGTACATTCTTCATTTTGTGTTGAACCCAATGGGAATGTAGGATTCAACTTGCTGGAGTTCCCATCAGAGCAGACTTTCCAGGAGGAATGTGCCTTGTTGTGTAAACCGAGGCTTGGGTTGATTTTCATGTTGCCTACTCCAAAGGGGAACAGTGTGCACCTATAGGATTTCCTGTTCCAGGCATTTCTAATCGCTCTTCTATCTCCTTTTCTCCCTTATAGGCTGGCCGTGGGTGACCCTCTCTGTCCTGGGATTCCTGTACTGCTACTCGCACGTGGGCATTGCCTGGGCCCAGACATACGCTGTGGAATAATTCTACCGAGCCCTAGGCCAGCCCTTGCTGCCAACCTCCAAGACAAATGGTGCTTCAACCTGACCTCACACCTCAAGACAATTTCCAAGAGACCAGTGTAGTTGGAGTTTGATCCATGGTAGTTTGATCTACTCATCTTTTGTTCAAGTTACATCACTCCAAGACTGGAAGCTTGAGCTCTCACTGAAAATTTACAACCAGAAAATCTAGCTATGAGGGCTTAGAGATAATCTATCCCAGCCCCATCATTTTCATGTTGTGTAAGCTGAGATTTAGAGCAATAGCGTATCTTGCCCAAGTATACATAGTGACATCTTGGTCTTGAACCCAGTCTCATGGGCCCTTTGGGTTGTTCTTCCTTTATCAAGAATTAAATATGGCATTTCTTGATCAAAGCATGGAAATCCTGGGATTATTAATAGGCTTTCCTCCACTGGGCAGTATTTCTGAAACCTTTTGGTGATTTTTAAGCAATTCCTTCCCCATGTCCTGTGTTGCAGTCTCTAGAACCCATAGTAGGATTTGACGCTTCCTACTTCAGCTCCACAGCAGAGAGGTGACAAAGCCAGGGCTGTGTTTCTAATTACCCATTGAGAGAAGATGGACGCTCTCCTGTGGCATTCCAAGGAGTCAGTAACCAAGGAGTCCTGTTATTTGAACTTTACCAAGGTATGCTAGACCTGGCCGTATAATTCCTGAGACTTGCCGAGAAGTATAAGTATGGTAATTCTTCTACCTAACAGTTAATTGTTTCACAATAAAGAAGCAGAATTAAAAAAAAAAAAACGGAATCGTTTATCTACACATTGGTGCTATCAGGCAATTTACAAAAGGCACAGATGGTTTTTTGTGGTTTTCTCTACTCTCTCCCAACAATCATCTTCCTATACACTCAGTGGTTTATATTGTTTTGTTTTGTTTCAAATAAAATGGAGCCTCTTCTACCACATAGATAATTCACATATTTTATAGAATTGTTTTGAACATTTTTTGAGGAAAATATTTAAAATCTAAACAAATTTGTATCAACTCTTGATTTTTCACTCCTCTAGAAAGCTGCTGGACAGGCCACCAATGGCCCCAAGTGGTAGATAATTCAGAATACTTCTGTTTGGCTTTGGGGTCTTGAGGAGTGAAGGGACTTTAAAAATTTGGATTCATAGTGTATCCAATTATAAGGGAATTTATAACATCTCAAGCACATAGATTAAATTATCAGAGTGAAAAGCTGACTTGGACATGGTCTGTGCCACACAGTCTTACATTTGTTACATGATATTGTGCCCTGGCTATCAACAAAACAAGATTTAAACTCCAAGAGTGCAGGACCAGTTCTTTTGAGAGGGGACCAGATGTTGACGACCTAGATGGGCACACAACATGTTTGCTGAATCGAAGGACAGAGAGGGGCAGGTAGACCTGCACAGCATCAGCCTCAGAAGCTGGATTGGTAAAGGAAAGGGAGATCCAGAGCAGGTGATTCCAGGGTGCTGGGAACTCTTTGAGGGAAGAGTAAGCACTGAAATGAACGTAGTAAAACTTCACGGGCTAATACTAATTCAGGACTTGTGTTCAGTCAGAGAGAGTTTGGCTGAAGTTAACCTGAAGAGAAGGACTTGCTAAGGAAAAAAGGAGCAGAAGATGATTGTGTGAAGTGTCTAATGTACGTATGTATATAAATAATGCAAAAGTTTTTGAACTCCTCCAGAGACACCATTTATATAAGACAGATAGGCTTATTCATTCACGGAACTACATCGGAAGAGTCAGTGGATATATTGGAAAGTAATAATCCTGAATTTCTTTTAGACTGTCATACAATTCAGAGTGGTTCTCAGGAGTTAGAAAGCGATTAGTGAGTTTTGCTATATATTTGAGACTTGATTAACTAACATGTGGGTTATCCAAGACCCTTGTTTTCGTGCTTTAACCTCTCATTTCTCCCCAACTATAATATGAAAAGGACAGTACTTCTCTCTTCATGCATATGAACTAAAATCTCAGAGTTATTTTAAATGAAAGACCCTGAGGTGCCTGGGCAGATAACGGTTCCAGCTGAGGAACATCTGACAGACACATCACTTTCCACAGCCATCAGTCTCAAGCCCTAGGTAGTTTCAAGTGCCATGCTGGGAAAGGACTCGACAAGTCCCAGGGAGCCTCTGACCCCAACCCAGCTCTGTGAGCAAGTTGAAGAGCTCCGAGCACAATCACCAAGACCATCCCCAGGGAGGGTAGATAGACATCGGGAGGACATCTAAGCCTAAGTCGTTTTGACTAATTCTTGAGGACCACACAAGAATACTTACAAGTGTTTTATTATTTCTTATGATTACTTTCTTTGAAGTGACAGCAGAAAATCTTTTGTTCTATTAAGGACTACAGACTTAGAGAGAAAATATATCAATTATGCTTATAATTGTATACTGATCTATATATTGGGAGAATAGTGATTGAGTCTGGGGGAGGGGAGTTTCCCTTTAGAGAGATTGAGACTGCTCACTTTGCTTATTTTAAATAATAATATAAATGTTCCATAAATATAATACCAAAACCAAAGCAAACCCATTGCCATCAAGTTAATTCCAACTCATAGCGACTCTATAGGACAGAGTAGAACTGCCCGATAGGGTTTCCAAGGAGGGGCTGGCGGATTCAAACTGCCGACTGTTTGGTTAGCAGCTGAACACTTAACCACTGGCGCCACTTAAGTTAGCCTAAATATAATGGGTTGGATTTTTAGTCAGTATACCAGAATGTATCCACACAGTAGGGTCCTCTTCAGTGTTGTCAACGTGAGGAGCCACATTATCTTGACAGCACTGGCCTTTCTCTGTGCCTTTTGAGAAAGCCTCTCAGGCCTTTCTTCCAAAAATATTGTTTTTATTTTAAAACGTACAAAAATCCCTCTTTTCTTTATAGTTGCAACCCATTTGGGACACAAAATGTAATATCTGTTACTTGGCTCTCTCTCACTCCTGTTGACTAGTTACAAAGATCATACTCACAAAAGAGATTTTTCACCACTTAGGCTATCTAAATGATGTCATGTTTAATGCTTTATTAGGTGACACTTTTGAAATTAGCATCAATCATTTGGAATTTTAAACAGTATCACCCTTAAATTATTGTTACTGTGCCTTCCTTTTCTGTAATGTAATTAAATAAGACGGGGTGAGGGAAGCTTCATTAAAAATACCGTGTTCATACAAGGCCCTATGAGGTCAAGCAGAGGCCTGAATTTGGCTTGTAGATCACAGATTCCTCAGCCCTGGATTAGGTTAGACTGTCTGTAAAAAGGAAAGTGCCATTTTTAAATGGGTGTGAAATCAGAATTCAAGTTGGCAGTATTTGTGGAATCTTGTCATGAGCAAGAAGCAATACCTATTAAAACAACAGCAGAACCAAAACAGTGCTCTTGTATACGACTGTCAGTCTAGGGGCAGGCAGTCCTCTACCTTAGTAGCTTCTGAGACCATCAATGAATTAAAGCATAGATCAGAACTCACATTGCTGACACTGAGTCGTTCGGTTACATTCTTCATACTATGTTTTAACTGGCAGGGAAGCAGTAATATGTTTTATACAAATTTCCATGCAAATTGTTCAAAGTTTAAAAGTTCACTTCTTAATGGGAGGTCAACTTCAGATATATGTGAAATCAATTACGTGTCATACCATGATTTTCCAGCGATGCCAGATTTTGAAGGCGTCTCTGTAGAGCTGTACAGCAGGGGCAGCTGTATTTCTGGATCCTACAACAAAGAACCTTCACACCGATTCTCTCACTATAGGCTACTTTGACACAAAATCTTGGTGTCTCTAGAATTTTAAAGTTCTACAAGGACCACAGTTATAAGTGCTGTTCACATTAGAGCTTCCCATGATGGAAAACCTGGGAACAGTTAAGGGTGACGGTTGAGCAACATGATGAACATAACTAATACCACCAACTGTACATGTGACGATTGTTGAAATGGCAAATGTTTTGTTACCTACATATTTACCACAATAAAAAACAAAACAAAAAATGAATTAGAGCTTCCCAAACTCCTGGGGTAGAAAATACTATCCTTATTCTGTCATCTTATGTCAGAATACCCAATTCAATGCTTTAAAATTGGGTAAGGAAAGGCAAAAGCAAGTTATCATATATAAAATAGTTTATTACCATAATAAATAAAATTAAACTTTTTTTTTTTTTTTTTTACAAATATCATTTGTGCTTGTTTCAAAAATGTTGAGAAGGAAATATCATCAATGGAGGGGCCAGTGTGTTCCTCTTAACATTCCCAAGGTGCAGACATACAGTGGAGGTCCTGGTAGCAGCCTCAGCTGACCATAAAAATAGTTTCAGCTCATCTGCACTTGTGTTTATTCATGTTCATTTGGACAAAGTGACAGATGCAAAGGAAAAAGAAAAACCCAATAAACGATTTGGTGGGACTCAACGGAAAGAGTGTTAATATAAGGAGAAGGCCCAGAATGACAAACTGGTCAAGAGCAGAAGTGTCCTTGCCGTTTTGGCGAAATACGGGATGTGGACAGTCTCCAACTGATGCACAAGTACAGTGTCTGAATATTAAGAGAATACATTCATTAGGGGGGTTATGTCTTTGTTAGCATAAAAGCAGTTCATATCCTGATACAAGATCTGCGAACTTCTCATTCAACAACTAATGGGTCTTTTTGATGACTTGGAAGTCACAGATTGAAAAAGAAACAATGGCTCTACAAAAAGAGTTTAATGGTGGGGCAAGGAAAGGACCTCCCAAGTCCATCACCTGCAGAGTATGTAAATCCAGTTCTAGAGGTTCCAGAATGAGTCTGATATGCTCCCATGAGAATGAAGTGTCATCTGAAACTAACATAAGCTGCAGGTAGATTCACATTAATTCTTTTGAATGGGGGGTGGGGAAGGGGTGATGAAAACTCTTCTCAACACGGACACCTTCAGTGAGAAAATAGGTGCTTTCTCAGATGGTTGCCATTAGTGCTGA